ACTTCTCTCTTGTAAGTACATTGGTTATAACATTTAAGGCCCACCAAATAATCAAGATACATACCCCATCTCATTGCCTTTAATGTAATCATAACTGCAAAGCCATTGTCATACATAGTTCTATTTATGTTTCAAGGAATGAAATTTGACATGTTTAAGGACCATCATTCATCCCCTACAAATTTGTATCTCACTTATGCTACCATTAGTATATGTCTACCACACAAGTTGCCTGTTCAAATAGAAGCCTCTCTCTTTGAGGTCATTCAAAACATAGCCTGATGACAGCTTTACCATCTTTAATGTACCTACTGGACTACAAAGCCACCTTACTCACCATGGCAGGAGAGAAACAACTGGAAGTTCACATGTATGCTTCAGTCCACCTAGAAGTGACACATATCTAATCTTCTACAGTCAATTGCCTGCAACTAATACATATCTTGGTCTAGCTGTAATGAGGTAGGCATTTGTAAGAAAGTAGATAGAATGTTTGAGGACCACTATTTTTGTGATCTATGCTGTATCAATATTTATAAATAATAAAATATTAATATTAATAATCTAAAGAACAGTTGTTATGTGCTAGAAATTGTTCTTTGCTTTGTAATATGTGATCTGATAATCTTAGCAATCTTAAAAATAATGAGATGATATTATCTCCTTTCTTACAGATGAGAAATTTTAGTAAGGTGAAATTGCTTATCCAATTTGAAGCAAAATCACCTTAGTACACAGAACACGTTTGTAATCACTACACACGTCTGTGATAAGAAAAGCATGATGTCTGCTATGGAATGAGGACTCATTCATAGTCTGGGTAGGGAGAAGAATGAATCTATTTTATTTAGGGGATAAAAAGATGTTCACAGGCCATAAATGTGGCAATAAGGAAAAAGGGTTTGTTTTTTTTAAAAAAATATTTTTCTTAGAAAACTCTTGAAACATCTTTGAGAAAGAGCAAACACTGTAACTAAATTAAATTGAAATGGAAAAAAAAAAGCCTAAACATTTAAAATACCAAGTGATGGCAAATATATGAAAAAATTGAAATGTTTTTCAGAATAAAAATGATAGAATCACCTTCATAAACAATTTGAGAGTTTTCTATTCAATTAAGGATATTTACCATGTGAACAAACACTCTAACTTCCAGGTATTTAGCAAAATGAAATAAAAACCTATGTTCACACAAAAATGTTAGCCAACACTTAGATCAGTTTGATTCATAGTCAGCAAGCACTAGGAATGAAGCAAATAGTCTTCATCCCAGAATTTAAAAAAAAAATATAGTGTTCACGTTATGAAATACTATTAGGCAATTAAAAAAAATTCACAACAGACTCTGGTAACAAATGGATGGATCTCAACTGAACTAATGCTAAGTGGCAAATGACATTAAAAAGTCTACATATTCTAAGATTCTAGTAAAAGATAGTCTTGCAAAGACAAAATTATATGCACAAAAGCAGTTTAGTGGTTGTCAGAAGCAGTGATAGGAGAAGGCATTGATCGAAAAAACGCTTGGGAAATTAGGTGACTATGACAGTGGTTACATGACTATATATTTAACAAAAGTCTTAGAAATATACACTATAATGTGGGCATATTATTGTTTGGCACTTATATGTTGATTTAAAAGATACAAGAAATATGAGACAATAAGTAACACAAAAACACATGTACACACTAAAAATATCCAATTTGATCCCCAAAGGCAATTTAGTTGTTTCTTCTCTGGGAAAGTGAGAAGAGGTGCTGCAGATGTTCTCATGGGAGACATCCCTTGAGAGGACCATATGTTTATAATTCACTGCTAGTTCCTATTCATTAGCTTCTGAAATCTATCATGACTCCAGGTGACTTTATTTTAGAGGGACATGCTTTGATCCTAGTCCCTTTGATCATAACTTATTCAACTGAATATTAATATTTGTTGTTTCACATAGGGCTTCTCCTGATTTTAAGTTTTTCTATAAGCCTGCAGCCATAGCCAAGGGAACATCCCAAGATAAAATTTATATCAAATGACTTGAAAATGAGAATCCTTTAGTGAGTTGTTATATAGGCATTCTATCATTTGCTATTTATAAGCACAATTCTGTGAACTGTATGAGAGAGGTAATTTTGTTATGTTTATTTTACACTTAAGGAGGAGGTAAATGTGTCATTGAAGGGCACAGAAAAATGCATGATAGATTCATGATATGAACATGAATTAGTGTTTTTTCTACATCTTTCTCTGCCTTAGAGACCTTGAAACCATTGACCACCCCTGAGAAAGAGCTTCTCTAACAGAATTTGTGCATAGAAACATTTCTTATATCAAACACACTCTTCAAGACTGACTTTCACTGTTTTTGAGGAGCAAGGTAAGCTTCAATTCAATGTACACCTTTAGTGAAAACTGTAATTTATACAAAAGTAGTGGGATAGCTGTGCCTACTATGATGTTTTGAACACAGAAATAAATGTTGAAAACATTTTTCTAAAAAACTGAGGAGAAGCTGGATTATAAACCTCAAATCTTTAATTAGTAGTGAATTGGATGATACTTATAAAATATCATTGTATCTCCTAAAAATACAGAAAACCAGTACAGGTGATGTTCTGATTAATTCAGTGGTAATTTCATCTTATACATTAATCTTATACACCATATGTTAACATCTTCTTGGAGGTAAAGAAAAAAAAAACAGAAGAGTAAAATGACCCTTCTTTAAAATACTAAAGGTACTGGCCAGGCACAGTGGCTCACACCTGTAATCCTTGCACTTTGGGAGGCTGAGACGGGTGGATCACTTTAGGTCAGAAGTTTGAGACCAGCCTGGCCAACATGGTGAAACTCTGTCTCTACTAAAACACAAAAATTAGAGGGGGGTGGTGGTGCAGTCCCAGTGACTTAAGAGGCTGCAGTCCCAGCAACTTAGGAGGCTGAGACACGAGAATCTCTTGAACCCAGAGGTGGAGGTTGCAGTGATCAGACATTGTGCCACTGCACTTCAGTCTGGGTAAGAGGGTAAGACTGTCTCAAAAAAGAAAAAAATACTAAAATACCAAAGGGAAATAAGTTTCAAACTACTTTTTAATATTTTCTCCATAATTGTATTCTTATTACTTGTAGTACATATCTATACACATGGACAGTGGTATCACTGAAAACACTGGCTGATGATTAGGTCCAAAGTGGGTTTAAATTTTGAATCTTCCTCATACTAGCTGTATAATTGTACAGCATCACAAAACTTCATAAATTGTCATTTACATTAATGGCAAAATAAAAATAATACTACTACCTACTTCATACTACACATACATGCATATCAAACATACCCACTTATCACTGGTTGTAGAACATGGTATATGAGAAAAGCGGTCATGTGTATTAAAGTACATAAACATAAAGGCTTCAAGGGGTTGGCTTGTAGAGTGAAGTTGCTAAAGGTGAAGGAGGAAGATGGAAGGGACTAATAGTTAGCATTGAATGGGTATCCTTCCAAAGACTTAAAGTTAAAATAGTTAAAATGGTTTCTACACAAGAACTGATTAAAGTAAAATGTTTTACAACATGAAGTTTGTCACAAAAACAGATCTGCAGGCTAAAGCAACACAAAAACTGAGCTTTCAATCCTCAATTTCTGTGATTCAAAGATGGGATGACACTACTGAAAGGAGGCATGAGTATAAGAAAAGGAGACTGAATGCAAGCTAAAATGTGGATTTCAAAAAAGATACTAAGCAAAACAACTACATGGGATGGCTAGGGTAGTCAATTGTATGGATGCCGCAAAGAAGAGTCACTGAAAGGCACAGAAAATCTCAGTGGCTCTACTGTGTGAGAGAATAAGCAAAATGATGAAGGACTTCAAAACTCATCCACACCTAAAGCTCTGAATGCTACCACTCACTTTTTCATCCTAATAATAGTGTAGCTGGCACTCATAAGGCTGGCTAACTATACCACATTTATGCTTTGTTTTATCCATTTCACGTTTAAATCTAACATTACTACCTTCAGTTAGATATAATTAGTATCTTCATTATGCAGATAGAGAAAATGAGGTTCAGAGGAGTGAGGTAATGATCAATGATTCCTAGATAGCAAATAGTAGGGCTGATAGGCACCTCTTACCACAGACCAAGCTCTATATACAGTTCTGTGTCTTCCCTTCAGAATTACCTTTACTGATTATACATGCCCCTACAGTCCCAGTCATCACAATACATCTGCTGTGCAAATATCTCTCATTCACTGTGAAACCCCGAACACTGAGTTTGTATCAATGGAAGCAATAAGTAACTGTTTGATTGAGTTAAAACAATTTGATGTATAGAAAATTATGAATGTTGTGCTTTTGAACCACTCTGCTTGTGTCCAAAGCTTGGCTTGCCATTAATTTTTATGTTAACATGAATAAATTACTCAACAATTTGTGCCTCTAGATCTAAAAGAAAGTAACAACTAATCAAACTTATTGTTGAAAAGAATCAATGAATATACATGCAAAGTATCTAGAGTAATTCTGTCAGGTGGACAATATAGAAGCAAAAGTTTTTACTAGAATAAGAAAAACTGAATTGGTCCACTCTGCTTGCATGCGTGTATACACACACATGTACTCACCTTTCATATATATATATATATATATATATATATATATATATATATATATATTATTCCACACATGTTGAAAATTTTATATAATTTTCCAAATATTGGTTATAATGTTAGAAAGGTGAAAACTGGTGAGAGATAATCCATGCAGATCTTTTCAATTCAGTCATTTATAACTCTATAGCTATTTAATGCACTAAACTTTGTGGTTAAGTTTATGTTTAGAAATGTAGAGTCTTAAAATGTGTGTTAGTACAATAATGAAATAATGCATGTGGTTTTTGACATTTTCATTTCATTGCAATATCTACTCCACAATCTGTTTAACATTCTTTTCCTTTGTTTCTCACTTCTACAGGCATCTTCTGATTCTCAAATAACATTGATGAAGAACCGTACAGAAGTGACAGAGTTCATCCTCCTCGGACTAACCAGAGCTCCAGAGCTCCAAGTCCCCCTCCTTATCATGTTCACCCTTGTATACTTTGTCAATGTGGTTGGAAACCTGGGGGTGATCATTTTGATTCTTTGGGACTTTCATCTCCACACTCCCATGTACTTTTTCCTCAGTCACCTGTCTCTAGTGGACTTTTGTTACTCTTCAGCTGTCACTCCCACGGTCATAGCTGGGCTCCTCATAGGAGGCAAGGTCATCTCCTACAATGCATGTGCTGCTCAAATGTTCTTTTTTGCAGCCTTTGCCACTGTGGAAAATTTCCTCTTGGCCTCAATGGCCTATGACCGCTATGCTGCAGTGTGCAAACCCCTGCACTACACCATGACAATGACAACAAGTGTGTGTGCGTGTCTGGTCATAATTTGTTATGTCTGTGGTTTCTTGAATGCCTCCATACACATTGGGGAAACATTCAGTCTCTCTTTCTGTATGTCAAATGAAGTCCATCACTTTTTCTGTGATGTTCCACCAGTCATGGCTCTGTCTTGCTCTGATAGACATGTGAATGAACTAGTTCTTGTTTATGTAGCCAGCTTCAATATCTTTTCTGCCATCCTAATTATCTTGATCTCTTATCTATTCATATTTGTCACCATCCTAAAGATGCACTCAGCTGCAGGATACCAGAAGGCTTTGTCCACCTGTGCCTCCCACCTCACTGCAGTCACCATCTTCTATGGGACTATTATCTTTGTGTACTTACAGCCCAGCTCCAGTCACTCCATGGACACAGACAAAATGGTGTCTGTGTTCTATACGATGGTCATCCCCATGCTGAACCCCCTGGTCTATAGCCTGAGGAACAAGGAAGTGAAGAGTGCATTCAAGAAAGTTGTTGAGAAGGCAAAATTGCCTTTATTATTGTGAGTTTAACATTGCAGGATGCATAATACCTAGTTTCATCCCTCTGTCCTGAATTACATTTTAAGGTTCACGTGAAGTTTTTGAAATAATATCATTTCTTCTTCCAAAGTCTGTTCTCTAGGAAAAAAAGAAATGTTATGCCCAAAAATATAATACCTAAATGAGAAAGCTAAGGTGAATAACAAGATATCTTAGGTTTTACTTGTCAAAACTTTATATATTTGATTTATTCACTCATTCTTCATGCATGTCTGCTACCAAATACTAGGAAAAGCATACGTGTAAAACAGGTGCATAAATAGGCCCATGAACATATTTATTCATGTGGGAACATATACACAGGAGTGGGAAATTTGCCAGATGTAAATTCAGTATAGCTAACTTTGATACAAATAATTCAGGTAATTAATTGAGTTATCTGAATTTCAGTTTATGTATAATATTGTTTATTTAGTCGAATAAATGTTTTAGAGTCCTAATTTGAGAACAAATGTGACTTAATTTAAATAAAAGTACAATCATCTCTCTCTATCTCTGCTATGCATCTGCGGATCAGATTTAACCAACCATGGATAGGTAAATATTTCTAAAAATAATAATAGCAATGCAACAAAAAAGTACAAATTTAAAAATTCAGTATAATAACTCCACATAGCATTTACATTGTGTTAGGTATTACAAGTAATCTAGAGATTATTTAAAGTATATGTGAGGATTTGCATGGGTTGTATTCAAATATGATTATATACCATGGATCAGTATCTAGATTCAATAGTCTGTCCATTGATTTATGTGTCTCTTTTTTCAATACCACACTTATGTTGGTTATTACAAGCCATGAAATCAGGTAACGCTTCAACTTTATTATTATTTGTATCTACTAGCTTTGCCCTTCCATATGAATCTATAATGAGTGTGTTCATATTTATTTTTTTAAGTCTGCTTGGATTTTAATTGTGATTGCAAGAAGTCTTCAGAACAGTCAATGTAAAGTCTCTTAATTCATTAATATAGTATTTCTCTACACTAATTTAGATTATTAAAATTTCATTCATCAGTATTCTGTATTTTCAGCACTTTTAAGACGTATATCTTAAATATGCTCAAAGAGCTAAATGAAATCTTGAACAAGAAACTAAAGGAAGCTAGGATAAAGATATGTCAAGCAATAGTGGCATATCAATAAAGAAACAGAAATTATAGAAAGCAATTAGATAGAAATTCTGGAGAAGAAACCAAAAAGAGGTAAGATAGACTATGGAAAGTAATGGCTTAAGTTTCTTGACTTTTAAGTATAAGTATTTTTTACACTTATAAAACCTTTTATATTTGTTATTTCATCAGAGAAAAATAACAACCCATGAGGAAGATTAAAGATTTTTTCTCCTTGTGAATCAAGATCAGAGCTTGACAGGTTTATAACCATCTGGCTATTAACAAAACCAGCTTTATATTTGGTCTTATGTTAAACTATTATTCACATCCCTACATTCTGAAGTACTGGACAAAAAGAATATTTTGGGTCACTTTATATGTGAGTATAAACAAATGAATTTGGAAAATTTATTGATCACTATTGAAGTATGAGCAGAATGTAGAAATTAACTATTTTCAAAAATAGCTAGAATCACATGCATATGTACATACATTAGGGTCCAATTTGGCAACTTAGAGGAAGAAATTTCATAGTTACTTAGATACTCTGGCACATTCTGAGCACTTTCATGGTGATTTTAATACTTTATTTTTATTATAGCATTTATTATTTTTTGAGTGGTGGTTTGTAGAGCTCACTGTATTTTCCCCCGTAATAGGAAAGGAAACATTATGTACTTAATAATGATGGTAACAAAGGTGATTCAAGTTATACCTTGTGTGTTAGAGTTGTGCCAACTTTATTTTCAATTCTGGCACATGTGATAGAACGTATTTATTAGAAAACGATCATTTGTTCTAACTCGCTACATGTGCAAAGCCAGCTAGGAGGAAAATGAGAATAGGAAGAAAACTAATGCTGAATGCATTACTTGTGTCAGGCATCAAGTTGGTAGGATTCTATGTAGCATCCAATGTAATCTAATACATTGCAGCTCTGTGAAATAAGTACACTGGGCATTATATAAACTAAATTTTCACAGAACATGAAACTGGGATTCAAGGAATAGTGGTAATATTCTCAAAGCCACATTTAAAGCCACCTGATTACATTTAATGTAATCAAAGCCACACTTGATTGGCATTCGGTTGCTAATGAAATATACCCCTTTGTACAATCCAGTTAAGTTACTGGAAAAAACTATCCTTGCAATATCCCAATATCCTTGGTGTTAATGATCCTCTAGGAGTCTTCTAAATGGTCACATTATACTTATAATCTGACATGTTTTTCATTAATTTTTCTTTTAGGTTGAATTTTTTCTCTTTATTCCTCTGTCTTTCTCTCTCTCTCTTTGTGTGTGTGTGTATGTGTGTGTCTGTGTGTGTGTCTGTGTGTGTGTGTGTGTGTGTGTGTGTGTCTCCTCTCTCTTCCATTTCCATGTTCAGTCCTTAAATAAATTTTTGATTATGTCATATATTTTATCAATTAATATCACAATATTATTTCCTGTTTATGGTTTTACCAGTGTACAGATGCTCCTCTACTTATGATGGTGTACACCCTGATAAACCCATCATAAAGTCAAAAATTACAAACTGAACCATCACACACTGGGGATCATCTGTGTTGCCACTCTCTACTACAATAATAGCAGCAAGAATTACACTAGTAGTAGGAGCAATAGTAATAATAGCAGTAGTAAACATTAACTAGTATCTATTGTGATACATACATTGAATTAAGTATTTTTCATGACCAAATTTAGTCAATTCAATTACTTTAAATAAAGAAAAAGGTTAGCCCTCCAATTACACAAATTATAACAGTGATGTATAAAATTAATTAACTTCACCCAAAACTTTTGAAAGAATAGTAGATTAGGGTTCTTCAGAGAGAAACTGAACACGTGGAATAAATACAGATACATAGAAAGAGATTTATTATTGAGGGACTGGCTCATGTGATTATGGAGGCCAAGCAGTCCTAAGATCTGCCCTTGGCAAGCTAGAGAGGCCTAGGAATGCTGGTAGTGCACGTTCACTTCAAACCCAAAGGCCTGAGAACCAGAGGCACCAGTGGTGTAAGTCCCAGTGCAACTCTGAAGGTCTGAGGATCGGTTGTGCCCATATCCCAAGGCAGATGATGGGTGGCCCAGCTGAAACAAGGAGAAAAAACTCAAATTCATCCTTACTCTGTCTTTTGGTTATATTTAGGTCCTCAACAGATTGGATGATGCCAGCCTGCATTGCTGAGGGTGATCTTCACTCAATCTACCAATTCAAAGGCTGATTGCTTCTGAAAATAACTTCACATACATGCTCATATGTAATATTTTACCAGATGTCTGAAAAGTATGGAAGTTCCTCGAAAAACTGAAAACAGAACTATAACATGATCTAGCAATTCCACTGCTGGATATGTATTCAGAAGAAAGGGAATCAATATATCGAATAGATATCTGCACTCCAATGTTTACTGGAGCACTATTCACAGTAGCCAAGACATGAAATCAACCTGTGACCATTAACAAAAAAAATGAATTTTTAAAATGGTACATATACACAAGGAATATTATTCAGTCACAAAATAATTAATTCTAGGCTGGGTGTGGTGGCTCATGCCTGTAATCCTAGCACTTTGGGAGGCCCAGGCAGATGGATCACCTGAAGTCAGGAGTTCAAGAACAACCTGGCCAACATGGTGAAACTCCATCTTTACTAAAAATACAAAACCTAGACAGGCATGATTGTGGGAGCCTGTAGTATCGGCTACTTGGAATGCTGAAGCAGGAGAATCACCTGAACCTGGGGGTGGAGGTTGCAGTGAGCTGAGATCACACCACTGCCCGCCAGCCTGGGTAACAAAGAGAGACTCCATCTTTAAAAAAATAATAATAAAATAATAATTATTAAATTATGTCATTGGCAGCAACACGAGTGGAACCAGAGGACATTATGTTAATTAAAATATGCCAGGCCCAGAAATACAAATATCACATGTTCTTACTCATACGTGGAAGCAAATATCTCTTTGAGGTAGAGAATAGCTCTCTACCTGGTGGTTTTCAGAGGCTAAGAGTAGCGGGGAGTGGAAGATAAAAAGAGGTTGGCTAATGGATACAAAAATACAGTTAAATAGAAAAGAATAAGTTCTAGTGTTCAACAGCACAATAGAGTGACTAGAGTTAACAATAATGAATTCCATGTTTCAAAATAGCTAGAAGAGAAGGTTTGGAATGTTCACAACACAAAAAAGTGATAAATGTTTCAGGTAAGTGATATCCCAATTACCCAGATTTGACCATTACACATTGTATGTTTATTTCTATTTTTAAGTTCTGGAGTACATGTGCAGGATGTGCACGGTTGTTACATAGGTAAACATGTGCCCTGGGAGTTTCCTGCACCTGTGAACCAATCACCTAGGTATTAAGTCCAGCATGCATTAGACACCTTTCCTAATGCTCTCCCTCCCCAGACCCCACACCCTGACAGGCCCCAATGTGTGTTTTCCCCTAAAACCTTATTGTCTCAGCCCAAAAGATACACATTGTATGGTGTTTATATCAAAATATCATATGTACCCCATAAATTTGCACAGCTATTATGTATCCATAAAAATTAAAAATATTTTTTTACAAAAATAAATTTGCGAGGTAAGATGTCCTAATTACCTTGATTTTGTCCTTACACACTGTATGCATTTATCAAAATAACACATGCACTCCAGAAATACAATCATTAGGCAGCAATAAAAGAAAACATATTACAATGAAATAAATATTACAAGGAACATTGCAATAAAACAAACCATTAACACATACTGTTAATAAAAAATGGTTACTAGTCAGCAACATGAAAGAGAAGATATAAAAAGCAAGCCAACACAATCACAAAAATTAAAT